AGATTGTTAACTAGTTCTGGCTCATTACTCATCAGCAAATCCAGCATGGCTTGTTCTCTTGTTGGTTCTAAAACATATTGTTCCAAAAATTTGTCCTGAATACATTCTAGAAATGTGTTGCCTTTTACTATCTGAGGTGTCCTGCTTCTCCCAGTCTATGTGAAAATTAAAATCTCCCATTATAACCACATTGCTTTTGCTCCATGATTCCCTGATCTCCGTATTTATAAATTTCCCCACTACATCACAAATCTCCGGAGGTCGGTAGACTACTCCTAACAGAGTCTTATCTCCTTTGCTGTTCCTTAATTCTACCCACAGTGTTTCCACTACCTGATCACCCTTACTGAAATATTTCCTCTCCACTGCTGCAATAGTGTATTTTATCAATATTGCTACTCCTCCTCCTTTCCCAATATCCTTGGCTTTTCTGAAGATCTTATAGCCTGCAAGATTTAGCTCCCAGTCCTGCCCAGCTTGTAACCAGGTCTCTGTAATGGCTACTACATCATACCTTTTAAGATGAATTTGTACTTCTAACTCACTTTTAAAAAAATATATTTCTTATGCTACATGCATTTGAATACATAACACTTATTTGGGTAACTATCCCCAATATGCCTATACACCCTAACGATGTTCTCACACTTTTTGACTTGTTACACCTTTTGTGATAAGTTCCTATTACCCTTTTCTTTCCTGTAGTATTTGTTATCTTTATCACTATTTGTATTCTGACCATTGCTCTCATCCTATCCTTGTCTTATGTTTTGGTTATTGTTTCCACCCAACCCCCCTCCTCTCCCCTCCTTACTGGTTTAAAGCTTTTTCTATGATCCTATTTATCCTTTTCGCTAGTACCTTGGTCCCAGCCCTGTTCAAGTGCAGCCCATCTCAGCAGTACAGCTCATTCCTGTTCCAATATGGTGCCAGTGTCCCATGAAATGGAACCCCTTCTTCTCACACCACACTTTCATTTCCCTGATCGGTTTATTTCTATGCCAATTTGCACATGGCTTAGGTAGCAATTTGGAGATTACCAACCTCGAGGTCCTGTTTTTTAAAAAAAAATTAGTTCCCTAGCTCTTGATACTCCTTTAGCAGGACCTCCTTCTTGCTCTTTCCTATGTCATTGGTTCCTGCATGGATAACAACACCTGGTTCTTTCCCCTCCCTTTCCAAGTTCCTTTCCAGCTGCTTTGAAATATCCCTTACCCTAGCACCGGGAAGGCAACACATCTCCTGGACTCTTATCTTGACTGCAGAGGATACCCTCGATCCCCTTAATTATTTCATGCCCTATAACTACAACATTTCTATTCTGCTCCTTCCCCACTTGCAAGCCTTCTGCTCTATGGTGCTTTGGTTTGCATTCAGGCCTCCTTCCCCACAGCTTTTCCCTCATCCAATGTAGCAAGTACATTGTACCTGTTGGACAGGACCAGTGCCTCCTCTACCTCTACTAATCTATCAATCTCACAAACCTCTTCCTGTACCCTCTATGTGGTATGGCTATCTTCTGAAGTAAACTGTCCAAATATTTCTCTCCCTTATGCATCAGAGGTCAAAAACCCTGAGCCGGAGTGACTCAACACACATGCACTTCTCACAGATGTGACCAACAAGGACAGTCTTATTGTCCACAAATTCCCACATACTGCAGCTTTGACACACTATCTGTGTTGTCATTATCCCTTTCTAGCTTCTACTCCACTTAATGTTTAGGATTTATATATAATATATATTAACAAGGTTTTACCTTCACATTTTATTTGTTTTTGGTTATTTTCCCCTTAATCTATTTTACCATTAACAATTTCAGAATAAATAGGTAAACACCCCTGATAATAATCTCTCAAGAAAAAAAAACCTATAATAATTTGGTCACTTCAATCTACAATTGTTTGTGGAACACTGCTGTGTGCAATTGGCTGCTGCATTTCACCCACAAAAAATGCAGTCAATTCACTTTACAGTATATTCTGTGAAGCACTTTGAGACATCTGGAAGGTATGAAAAGCACTATATCAAATTCAAGGATTATTATAAGTAATTTCACACCTTTTGTCCCTTACTCACACTCCTTAATACTTGACACCTACTTCCTTAGAAATGTTACCATTGGTCTAGGCATCCTGTATCTAGACCAACCATAACTCCATCTTCTGTACCTGATTTCAATCTCCAATCTCCCACATTCAATATGATGCGAACGTTTTGCATTTCTCCTATGAAGCAAACTATTCAACATTCTCAGTTTACTGGTTCTGTTTCTCCTTTACAAAGTTCTCACCTGCACCTCAACAAAGATTTCTCACTCTTTTGCTGAATTATAGGGTTCTCTCTTGTATCACTTGCAGAAGAATTGTCGCTCTATTTCCCACCTCACACTGCTGGGCTCTCTGCTCAAGTGAGGCTCTCCTAAAACTTCCCCTTTTGACTGGTCAGCAAATTTATTATTCCCCAACACCTGGCCTATGATTAACTGCTAGTTGACTTGTTTGCCTGCTTACACCTAAGGTTGCCTCTACCTCAACAAAGATTTCCCACTCATTTGCTGATGAAAGAGTTCTCTCTTGCTCTTTGGTATCTCTCTTGCTGAAGAATTCCCACTCTCACATAATTCCTAACAGAATTCTCACTGTGTTCCAACTCACTCAGTTCCCTCCTCACATTGCTGGACTCTCTGCTGAAGTCCACTATGTAGAACCTTCAAAGATATGGAAGATGTTCCAACACCAGTGTGATACCAATGCACAGTATATACTAAATGTATTACTTTGACAATAACCTAATTTGTAGTATTTGCAAAGGCATTAGTAATTAGTAAATCCTGGATGACTTGGATTGCAGATTCTAATTGCAATCAAGTGTAGTGACTTTTTTTNCTGGAATGCTACCCTGCGTGAGGGGAGCTATAAAAATTCAAGTTGTTGTTGTTTTTGCAAGCAAACATGGCAGTCATTTTGGTGCCAGCAAAGTTCAAATCAACCATGAGGTGAAAAATGAATTAATCTGGAGGATTGTTAGCCAGCATACTATGAGTTAAAATGTAAATGGGAGTACTAATAATTATTGATAGCAGCTTTGAAAAACTTACAAAACTACCCAGACACTTTTTGGCAGAAAAGCTATTCTGGAACATCTGATAAATCTCTGCATTTATTTAGAGTCATGCTAAATTATGTCAGTGTAAGAGTTTAATTTTCAAGCTATCATTCTCTCAGCATTCAAGGTTTTGCATAAACTAGAACCAACATTTTCATCCGAAATAGGATTAGCACAATCCCCAAAGCAAATTCAATATGAGGCAAATGTTTTGCATTTCTGCTGTGAAGCAGTTCTCAGTTCACTTATACAATAACAACAACAAAATTGCATGTATAGAGCGCCTTTCACGTTGGGAGGACGTCCCAAGGCGCTGTACAGCAGGGTCAGGTCCCGAGCAGGGGAGAAATGGTCAGGGTGAGAGGAGGGAAGGGAGGGATCGAGGAGGGGGTAGAGAGTCGAGAGGGGAGCTGAAGGCACGGTCAAAGAGAAAGGTCTTGAGACCGGCCTTGAAGGAGGAAAGGGAGGAGGCACTGGGGGATGGAGTTCCAGAGCCTAGGGGTTGAGAGGCTGAAGGCCCGGCTACTGATGGTAGGGCGGTTGGGGCGGGGGATGTGGAGCAGACCGGAGCCAGAGGAACGGAGGGTACGGGCAGGTAGGTAGGGGGATAGTAGGTCGGAGAGGTAGGAGGGAGCAAGGCCGTAAATAGCCTCGTAGTTGAGGATGAGGATCTTGAATTCGATCCTCTGGGGGATGGGAAGCCAGTGGAGGCGAGCGAGGGTGGGAGTGATGTGGTCCCGAAGCCTGGTGCGGGACAGTACACGAGCTGCAGAGTTCTGAATGACCTGCAGCTTGTGGAGGGAGGTGCCGGGAAGGCCGGCGAGGAGAGAGTTCCCATACTCCAGCCTTGAGGTGATAAAGGCGTGGACCAGAGTTTCAGCAGCGTGAGGGGTGAGGTAGTGCCGTAGTCTGGGGATGTTTCGGAGGTGATGGAAGGTGGTGCCAGTTGTGGCGCAGATATGAAGAAGAAAGGATAGCTCAGGGTCCAACAGAACGCCGAGGTTCCTGACTGGCTTTGAGAGGTGGAGAGTGCAGCCTTGGATGCTGATGCTGTCAGCGCCTGATGAGATTTATAGTGCAGATACAGAACTCAGAGCTGCCTGCCCATTTCAGTAGATCATAAGATAGCCGAAGAATATTATTATTTTTCACTCTTGAAAAGGTACTAAAATGTATGTTTTGCAGTCAGGTCTTCCTGGGATCTTACTTTTTAATAACATCATTTGTTTCCTGATTTTGTTTTGGACCAAGAGTGAAGCAGGAGTTCTTTTGTGAGGACAATACAACCAACAGAAACCAACCTATTTCTCACTTAATTGTTGTGTACTCTGTGGAAAGTGGCAATATGCTTATGTAAGAATAGTATAAATTGGGAGTGAAATTCCACCTGATTCTTGATATACTTTATTAAAGAAACATCTTAGAGTGTCCAATATGGCAAATTATTGAAATCAGTCTTTGAAGCTGTTTTGTAATTTTTAAAATAACTTACTGAAAACTGCCCAGGAGTTGACTGCTCAGCCTGTCATTAAGGACAGGACACAAAATGAGTACATGTTCTGTTCTTGTGATAATGACTCGTGATATTTATTAACTCTTTAATAATTATCACATTCCACACTGCTTCTCCCCTCATAATTTAAGTTTAATAAAATAAAGTTTTGGCATAGCATAACAAAAGTTTTTGTTCTTGGTTTTATTCCAACAAAATTAATCACAGGTAATTTATCAAATGGAGATACAAGAAGAAACTGATTTAAAATGAAATAATATGTAGAATGTGAAATAATTTAGGGATAAACCTTGTCATTTGAAGCATCTTAAAAATTCCAGTATTTTAACATTAAAGACCTTGGAATACAGAAGATTTATATGTTTTCTTTTTCATCTAGATAAAGAAGAATCAATTGGGGTTCTTTTGAAATTTAAACCAACTGGGCCAGGCCGATACCTTTGTCACATCCTGCTGCATTCTCCATATGATATTCGTGTGTACAATGTTGAATGTGTGGTAAATCCTAGTGATAACACTAAGACTGAGTTCCAGATCGTTACTCCAGCCCATCAAGCTATTATTAAAAATATTCCTATTGTAAGTACTCAAACTGAAGCTTGGAATTAACAAAAGGTTTGCTTCCACACTGCAGTCATTAATATGCTCAAAGGAATCTCTGCCACAACCAGAGTGCCACTGGTTGAGATCTTGCCATCATAATTCATACTATTCCATTGTAAGAGAATGGAAATGAGTGCATTGGTTAGTGCAAGACAGGACAAACGTTTTATAACACGGCCTTGCTATAACATGAGTTTGCTTATAATGTAATTGGACTGTGGATCCTGACATGTTGTTGCCTGAAAATTGGAATCTCCACTTAATATCCCATCATTATACTTCAAATCCTGTTCATGTGCTTCAAATCCTGTAGAAGCCTTTATATCCCTTCAGCATGCTTCAAATCCACTCATCACACTTCAATTCTTGTCATTGTACTTCAAATCCCATCACCGTGCTTCAAATTGGATTGTCATACTTCAAATTGCATTATTGCATTTCAAATCCTGCCATTGTGCACTTTAGTAATTATATCTTCGTGGCAATTTTTTGGATACATCTTTAATACACTTTTTGGACCCACCCTTTCCAGTAATTTATATTGAATCAATCAGAACTAATAATAAGCATGCCTTTCTCTGATTGGTACAATTGAATAACTGGCAGGTACTACATTTCCCATGCTCGTGTGAGTTCCCTAAGTTATTATGCTCACATTGTCCCTGCAAAAATATTCTGTAAATAAGGCCCCTCCTTTCATGGGAAGTCTGCAGTAATGGAGTTTTTATATAATAATAGTAATAATCATTATATTTTTATAGCATCTTTCATATAAGGAGGGTGTCTCAAAGCACTTCACAGGATGTACTGCCAAGTGTAGTTACTGTTTTGTAGACAAATGCAGCTGCCAATTTGTGCACAGCAGTATGACACAAGCAGCCATGAAATATTAAGACTGATTTTATTTGGGGGATTGTTGGCTAGGACACCGGGAGAAACTCCTGTTTTTTTTTGAATAATGCCATGGGATCTTTAATGTCCACCTGAAGAGATAGACTGGGCCTTGGTCTAATATGACATCCGAAGGGTGGCACCTCTACCAACGGAGCACACTCCCACTGCTGGATTGGAGGGTCAACCTGACTATGGTCCAGAGGCTGAACGTGAGGCTTGAACCCACAACCTTCTGACTCAAAGGCAATAGTTGATAGTGAAAGTATACCAATTTCTCACCTCACCTAACTCTGCAGAATGATTTGAATGCTTAATGAAAAATCCTAATTTCTGGCCTGTTTCCTTGTCGCATGATAGTTATAACAACCATAGAAGGAACTTCAAAAGTCTGATAACTTATTTTTCTCAGAAATAAAGGTAAACAAATTGATCAATAATTAAAGAATTCCTGTGAGTAGAAGGCCTAGATACAATTATATTTTTTCCATTGCTCAATAGTTGTATAATAATTTTTTGAATGTCAGCTGAGCAACTGGGTGACGATTTTATTGCTGATATTTTGTGTGACTTATCTTTCAGCACAATGAAACCCGACAGGAATGGAAGATTCAGGCTATTCTGGAAGGAGTGGGCTTCTATGGTCCACCAATGTTATGTGTACCAGCTTGCAAAACATCAGAATACCCAGTGATGTTCAAACCTGCTTTTGAGTGTGTAACAACGGTAAGATATTTATTGCTTCTGATAAATGTCAGCCCAAGATTTATTGATAATAATAATCCTTGCATTTAATATAGCGCCTTATCACATCTTCGAGATGTCTCAAAGCACTTCACAGAATATATGGTAAAGTGAATTGACTGTATATTTTGTCAGCCAATTTATAACTGCCCAAAACATATCAAATTTCTCCCACATCTGTCTTCAGTACTTTATGACTGCCTTCATATTTTAGATGGGAATTATCCTGAATGGAATGCTAGGTAAGAAGTACAGTATTTAAAATCTCCACTGATATAAGCTCCCTAGGCTGAAGAAATGGCCAAATTGAAACATTTTTTTTACACTGGCACAAACTAGAACTCTTATGCCTCATTCTATAACAATGTTGGGTGTTGAGGAAGAAAAAAGCTATTTATTAGTTTTGTATGTGATTGATGAAGTCTATTTTTTAAAAAAAATAATTTCCCCCTGTTTTTGTGAATTCACAAAGCCAGTGCTGTACTTCCAAGCACATAATTGGAGTTCTTTCACTGACAATGTTTTTTTTTAAATTGGGCTTTAGGGGCTTTAACAAGAACAATAATTTACATTGTGTGGATATCTCAAATCATTTTGATGCAACTGACTGAGACTCTGAGTTGGGATGAGATGGGGAAGGAAAAGGAGGTTGGCTGAAAGCACAGTCAAGCAGAGGTCTGAAGGAGGATTTCAAGGATGGTGGCAAGATTAAGGGACTCTGGAGTTCCATAAAGTGAGGGTAGAAAGCTCATCCACCAAGAGTGGAGCGGGCAGGAGTCGTGATATTAAAGCATCACTTGCATGAATCTAATATTGCCTTTACTCCACATTTTGACAGTGAATTTTAGCTGCAATAGGCCACAAAACAGGAATTAATCACTGTTGAATCCTGCTCCTGACAACGTATGGAGGAGATGGGGGAGGTGATTTTCATCCAACTAGCAATTGAAAGTGTTATTGAATGGACAGTTACACGGGCAGCTTCACTTGCAGCATTATAATGCCCCAAGCGCTTTGGGATGCTGCCCTGCATGAGGGGTTCTATATAAACGCAAGTTGTTCTTGTAATATATTTAAATTTGAATTATGATGTTGTGGACCATTGGATTGGATTTCAGTTCAAATCTGGCCTGGCTTGCAATCAAACTGGATCATTATATTGCATGACATTTAGGAAGGTGTACAAATATGTCCTAATTGGGGGAAAAATCAACAATCTACAAGCAGTAATGTTTGTACAGAAGTATGTAAGATTATTGAGGGAGCAATATGTACTTCCCATCAAATCCTTAATTTCCAGCCTAAAAGGAAGCACTTGTTTATCATTATCTAGATATAAATGAAACCTGGAACAAATTATTTTATTTTGCAGTGCTTGTGCTGCAGGATCTATTTTGTTCCTAAATTCTAATAATAAACAGAATTAAAATTTGGAAGACTCCAATTGATCGGTCTGACAATGAGTCACGAAGCAATCGATCTGTGGGCTCATCAGTAAATGAGTCTCGTCCTGCATCGTTGGTTGTTAATGACTCAGATCGGAAAGACTCTTGACAGAGTATCTGGGAATGAAGATTCAGTCCAAAGTCTTGTATTCAATCTGAACAAGAATCTATTAATGAAGACTCGCTTTGTGACTCTGTATCTCTGCAAGATCAGATGCTAGGAACAATTCATCTTCTAATTCACACTTCCTGCTGGTTTTATCAGATTATTCAGATTACGTACATTATTCAAGCCTAGTTGCGTTAGATGTTATTGCTAGAAATACTGAAGTTAACATAAGTAATTAAATTTTATCATACCTTGTGAAACTATGTTCAGTTTCATATTTTTTCACTGGACTCGAAGCTACTTGTGAAGCTACTTTGCTTAAAAAACAGTGGTACATATTATGTGCGTATCAATTTTGTATATAGTTTCAAAAAGCACTCACAAAATATATACAGTATTTATCACTTACTCAGATAGCATAGACATAGACAAATGTCTTTATTTTAGTACATTTTGAAAAAGTTGTCTTTACACAGCTAATGGACGTTTTATTATTTTCTTTTTTTCTCTTTTATTACCTGCACTTCTCCTGAAGTCATTTACCCTTTACTGGGGTGTGTACAGGTGCTGCATATCTTCCAGTTCCTTGACAAATTGGCCATTATTCATGGATAATCCTTGAGAGTGAGCGTTGGTAGCCAATCCTGTTCCTATCCTCGCTTAACATACATACTTGTGTGGGGACTTTCTAGCTGGCAGTCACAATTGCAAGAAGTCTTGCTCATTGTCCATTCTTTAAACTAGGGACACCGAGGCTAATTGTAGCACCCCAACTGCTGCTCTATCTGAGATAATGTAACTCAGCATAGATCATGATTAGAATCTACCTTCTGAATTATATGGTCATTTGCTGCATCCTAAAATCCTCGAAAGTTAGAACATGGAATCAGATTAATTAGCCTATCAAATGATTTGGTGTTTTTCTCCACCTAATCCCATTCCCCATACTCTTTAAAATTTCTCTTTTTTTGAAACATTTTGCAAATATCACACATTGGACTATGTTCAATATTCACAAGCAGAAGTCATAATTAGCAGTTCCCATCCAATTTATGAATATTGCAAATTAGAACCCATTGGCCTTTTTGTTGCAGGGGAAATGAGAAAGGAGTGCAATTAAAGTTCATGTAGTCACCATAGTTAAATTAACTGTTGCGTTATATTAACTGGGCTAATCATAGAGATATATATAAAATAAAATAAGGTCTATTATTCCTGAATACTTTTATTAAACAGATTTATTTATTAACCAATTCCAACTTCATATGAATTATGTGGCAATGAAACACATATACTCTTAAATATTATCTGCATTATTTTGAAACGTAAAATATGCCGACCTGCTTTAGTCCAACCATTATTAAGCGTTTGTTGCAAAAACATTTAAATATGTATTAAAAATATCAGTGCCAACCAGCTCCTGGAATGCGCATTTACTTACTACTGTGTCTTAAATTAATAGCAAAGCAGTGACTTCTTGACAGTGTAAATCGACTCTCACTGCTTGTAACCCTTGCATTTCCTTCTTCACAGGGTAAACTTGTACTGAAGAATGAAACAGATGGTTCTGAAAATGTCTTTCACTTCAAAGGCACTGGCATAAAGTCTTTGGCCCTGGATCATGTTGTGATAGACTGTCAAGTAAAACAGATCACAAAGAAGGTCCTAATGGTTCCCAATTACACTCAAGCCTGTTTATCATGCAAGGTAAGAGTTTAGACTGAAACTACGGCAATTCAAGGTAAATGATACCACTTTCAACCAGGTCAACCAATTTAGCAAATTACAATTGAAGATCTGGGTGATTCTCTCTCAGTAAATTTAATGGCCTTGCTGATGTGAGCTCATAAAACTTCAGAAAAACCTCTTTCTTCAGATAGAACATGCAATGATTAGAATTCACCCTTCTGAACTCTTTGTTTACACTAAAATAAGATACCAAAACCGCAAAAAAGTTTCTCTGTTGATCAAAGATTACTATACTTTGATATGAATGAGATTTCAGTACATGGTTTATTTTACAACTATTATTTTTACTTGAACAGTGATACATTTTGTCCATCGATTTGGTATGTGCACCTCTATAGGAATAATGGAGAGAAGGATTGATGTAGCATCCCTCTACTTCAAGACATTTTTATTCCTATTACATCTGCCTGCACCAAAACATACTTGAAAATGTTAGCAATGTGAAGAGAAATTTTCAGAACAGCAGGACTACTCAAACAAAGGCCCAATGATACAAAATAGGAAAGGCCTGTGGAGATGCTATTCGAGTTTAAAAAACTTAGCTTATATCCACATTGCCGAGAGACAATTACCTGCTTGTTTCTCAGTTATGTTTCTTAATTTGCTGCTTGAATAGTTTTATAATCTTGTTGCGGAAAATAAACAGAAAACCAAGTTTAAAGTATGATGGAATAGAGAGGTAATTATTGCATGCTGTGAATATCACAATAAACATATGTACCAACAAATTCTATTCACACTTAGTTTCCTAAAAACATGATAATATTTTGGAAGGAGCTCTTCCTTATTTAGTAGGTCCAATTTCTGATAGTTGTTAACATTTTCACAACCAAACGTCTGGAATATGTTGGTGAGGTTGTTAGAAACATTTGCAACTATCTCCAACAATTTTAGAATAATCCGATTCCAGTTTACCAATTGGTTGAGCTAAGTCACTTTATTCAGGTCAAAACAGCAGGTAATACACAAGACACAAAACGGTACTACCAGATTTCTGTTACAGCACTGGTCGTCTCTCGCACTGCTCCGTTACCATTCCGGTGATATATATCTAACACACTTTAGTTTAAAGACAACTTAAAAACTCCAGTAAAAGCTGTCGTTTTTATGAAAAACAACTCCTTATATGATTATATCCATAATATGCTTCAATTCTCCCTTTAACCACATTTTATTCTCTCCTGATTAATCCCTTTGTCCAGTTTGTACGTTTGAACATACTTTCTGCGTCCTTGTACATCCTGATCTTATCTTGCCACATTGTTTTGGGTTCTGCCTTGCAGTTACTTAGCTTTGCACTTCTATTTTATATTCTTAAAACACACTTTAACATTGACCCATGACAACAATTATTTTATATTCTTAAAACACGCTTTAATATTAACCCATGACAACAAGGTATTTTGGAGGTTAATGCACCATATAAAAATTATCTGCTGTTGTGATTCACAATGCAAATAAGTCAAAAAGGACAACTCTCTGCGTAAATACTTTATTCACCAAATTTTAAAATGGATTACCAAGATGGATGGGAGTGGATGATTTACTAAGTAAACATTGAACATCAGAATCATTCTTCACCCCTTTCAAATCCCTTGCTGTTTTTTACGCACCAGTGTAAGGATTGCTTGAGAGACATCATAATATTTCAACATGAAGTCCTCTCGGACACGACCGTATCTCCAAAGGTCCAGTACATATCACTCCATTTCAAACTCATCTTCTACAGAGGTAAACATCTCCATAAGCAAATGTCACTGAACTTTATTCTTTCCTCTGACATATGAAAGCCTACACTGCAACTGCGCATCTTTGTACATTCACATAACTGGAATATTTTTTTGCTGGTTTCGAAGTCCCATGTAAATTTCCAAATTGGAATCTGATGTGGATAAACAAATGTGCATGTAACTTTCTCTTTTGAAATGGAGCTTTCTGCTAAAACAATATTTGTTTTGCATGTCAGTCCAAGTAAAGTGCAAATATTTATATTTTTCCAGGTTGTTTCAGACTTGAGAACAGTGAGTGGACCACCGCTACTTACGATGAAAGCCGGCCAGATTGCTCCATATCAAATTCAAATTTTACCATGGAAACGTGGAAAATTTAAAGGTAAAACCACTTTCATGTACCTACTTTTATGAATACATTAAAAAGGTGAACTGAATTTCAAAAGGAAACTAAATAAATGAGTCAAACCTAATATAAATGGGCCACAAATATTCTTACAAATACAATCATTTCTTTCTCTTGCCAAATATGTGACTTAACAATTAAAGCTTGTAAATTGCAGAATGTGTACTGAATAACTGAGACATGCTTAACACTAAGTAAAACCATATGCCACAGTTACAGGCTACATTGTGGGTAGTAAGCACAGTAAAACACAGTAAAGCTGGAAATGCACTGCTGGTTGATCAGCATCTAAATTGATATTGGGTTATGAGCCTTCATCAAAACTGAATGTCACAACCTAAAACTTTGAACCATTTTTCTCTTTGAAATGTTGATCTACCCAATGAATATTTCCAGTATTTTCTGTTTCAGATTTTTGTCATTAGCAATTTTTCTTTTGGGAAAATATTATATTAAGGTTAAACATTTTAAATTACTGTTGGTGTTTTTTTTCAAAATAAAATGGCCTTCAAATTTCTCTCCTCCATTTCTGAAGGCACTAACATGCTATTGTACAATTCCACAGAATCTGATCAACCTCCAATATTTTGCTCATGGCCATTGCCTTTGTGGCTGAATTGAAACAGATCAGCCACAGAGCATCCTTGCCTGATGCTCACATATGCACTGTCTACAAAGGGATGAGAATGGATCCCATGACTGACATTTTCTCCCTTTCAAATTGATGGGCACTGAGGCTAATTATAGCTCACAATTTTCTGTCTCACATACGCTAACATAACAGACTGACAGAAATATTGGGATTTCAGGAATATAGGTTTGTTTTATATTAATGCTAAAAATCTGGTTTATTCTGTCAGCTAGTTCCTATGAGTGACCTCATACTCAACATTTTCATGTTCTCAATGTTAAGACAAATGAGTTAAAATTTCCAGAGGCCTTGTGTATAATTAGTAGCATTTTTTCATCAAGTATAATCCCTTTAACAACAACAACAAAATTATATTTGTATAGCGCCTTTCACAAAGCGCTGGACAGTCAGTGTTTCAGATCCGAGCTGGGGGTCAGGATGGGAGGGTAGAGGGCGGGGGGGGAATCAGGGAGATCGAAAGAACGGTCAAAGAGGAGGGTCCTGAGATGGATCTTGAAGGAGGCAAGGGAGGGGGCGAGGCGGTGGGACTGCGGAATGGAGGATAGGGGCAGAGTGGCAGAAGGCCTGCCCGGTAATGGTGGGGCAGGTGAGGCGGGCGACGTGAAGCAGGTCGGAGCCTGCAGAGCAGAGGGAGCGGGCAGGATGTAGGGGTTAGGAGGTCGCAGTGGTAGGGGGGAGCAAGGCCATGGAAGGTTTTGAAGGTGAGGACCACGATCTTGAACTGTATCCTCTGTGTAATGGGAAGCCAAGAGACATTGGGAGAATGTTTCAAAACACTTCACAGGATCTACTACAAAGTGCAGTGACTATGCATTTCATGGGCAGTCAACTTGTGTACAGTAAATTCCCTTCTGTTTTTGACAGCGCCTTGGGACGTCCTCCCAACGTGAAAGGCGCTCTATAAATGGAATCTTGTTGTTGTTGTTGAATAGTACCATGGGATTTCTAACATCTGCTTGAATAGGCAAATACAAAATTGGTTTAATATTAAACAAAATAAATTTAGAGGCCACTTTGAGGCCTACAATTTACAAAACAAAAAATTCTTATTTCAACATAAAAGAAAGGCTAATGTCTTAAAAGGAATAAACTGCTTAACTTGAGGAGTGTACTGCCACCTAATGATAATTGTGAATTTATCCAGTAGTTTTAAATTTTTACAGAATTTTGGAAAATTCTGTTTTAATTTCGAAGCTGTGTTTTCTCCGGGACCTTTTAAGTGCCGTGGAAAGCCAACTTCAAAATTAAGACTGAATTTAAGAACTTTACAAAAATCTTCACAGTATTAAAATTTAAGGCAAGCTTAAGACCATAAGAAATATCAGGCCTTTAGATTTTTAGTTGTCAAATGATGTTATTGTTCATCAATGCATTTATGAGTTTGAGAAATTGTTGAACTTTATGTGACAATGGCACCTCATGATGATAAAATGACATCCTCATGCTCAGATGGATTACAGAAGTAGTCTTAGGTACAAATCCTTATCTGTGCTTGTTTGCTGTTGTGGATAACCCTATGAGAAAGGAGGGAAAGTAAGTGACCAAATCATTTCAGGCTTTCTCACTCACCTTTTTGAACTATTTTTAGTGATGCAAGAGACGATTATAACTGGCACCATAATCCTGTCTTTCAAATTTTAAACAGAATACACATAGCCATCCATTATCCACGACTGTGCACTTAAACAACTTTGATTGTAAAGTGAAATTGCCACAGTCAATGAAACCCTTTATTAAGAGAAGGCCAATATAATCAGCAGTATAGAGCCTAAACCATACATGAAAAATTACTTTGTTTGGACAACAAAACAATTAAGAATCATTGTCTGGAGCTGATAAACCTTTCCATAAGCTAAATCTTCCAAGCATTGCTTCATTAATGAAAACCTGTTCAAATGCTGAGAGAATTTTCACTACACAAGAAACATCTGTTTATAAATGGTTCACAATGTATGCAAGTTAAAAGGGAGGAGTTATTTTTACTCTCTCCATAAAGCTTGTGAAAAAAAGAATGTCGCATTGCCTTTTCAGAACTAGATATTTACATTTCTGCATGTTGAAAAGCTGTTATGTCAGGTCTCCCAACTGGAAGATACCTCATCAGATAATGTTTACAATGGCTCCCTTTCCAGCTGGCTGAGTGCAGATGAGTGTGGATTAGCATTCTTGTTGCTTCTGGCTGACATTCTCAGCAATCGAAGGCATATCAAGGCCTTAGCCGTGATAAGTTTGTACACTCTCTAACTAGACTTTTGGCACAATGATCAATTTAACGGGATCAATTATATCTAAAATTTGGGATTCATCTTGCTTGTAATGCTTGAGAACAAGAACAGCAATATATAACAAGGATCTCATCCATTAAAAATCTTGTCTCTCTGAAACTACCATCTGTTACCTATTTGTTTCAGGTGTAATCTCATTTGAGGTCAATGATGAAACAGCCCCACATCTCACCAATTGCTCATTGCAAGAGACAGATGGTGAAGAACCACTACCATGCATGTTAAAACTACCATCCCAAGCAATTAATGCAGAAAGTTCTGGTATGTTTATTGTTATAAAGGTATCGCTAGCAATTTGAAATATTAGCAACTGTTTGCTTTTCTTTACAGTCAGAGTTAATCATAATATGGCAGAAATTATTCAGCAATTCTACACATCTTCATTAGCTATCTAAATAAAATGCATATACTGTGGTAATGTTTTGAAATGCAGTTTAACTCTCCAGTAAAATCTTTATAAATCCCTACTTCAGGCTAATCAAATCCTATAATAATAATAATCCTTGCATTTGATATAGCACCTTTCACGTCTTCCAGATGTCTCAAAGCACTTCACAGAATATACTTTAAAGCAGATTGACTGTATATTTGTGGGCAAACGCGGCAGCCAATTGCCGACAGCAGTGTCCCACAAATAGTTGTATATGGGTATAAAGATCACATGCTCAAAGGTAGCTTGGTACTTTCTGGTTGAAATTGCTGAAAATTATATTCCCAATTACTATAGACATTCCAGACTCATTATTATTACTATGTGTAAATGTCAAGTTTCCAAGAACCTTTGGATTTCGGAATAAGATATATGCTATAAGCATGTTGGAAATACTTTAGGATGTATCAAGACAGTAGAACAAGAGGACAAGATTTAGAGTTTTAAAAGGCATTTCAGGACAGATTCCAGGAAGAATTTCTTTACACAGAGGATAATCAACGACTGGAACAGATGACAGGACACTCAACACATTTAAAAAGCAGTTTGTTGCAGTAATGGGAGGTCGTTAGGGTTGATACTCCAGACAAATCTTGTAGTCTTGTGAAATACTATATTTATACTGAGCTAGCAAAAAAGATATATCTTATTAAAACAAATGAGAATTTAGACCAGGTTAATTTTGTAATTAACAATAGAATGTAACTTGTGACACCTTGGAAATTGCTGGATGTAATTAATTTAATTTGGAACCACAAAATAGAATAATGTAAACTAGTTGACCTAGATTTATCATTAGTTGCAGTAAATTACCATTGTAGTTTTAAAATAAAGGTTTCATACATGTCAAATGATTGCTTACTCTTTTGTTAACACTCTTGCTTGTGGGTCATAAGATTGCTGGCTCAAGCTCCACTTTGAGACTTAAAATACCATAAACATTTACATTTATATTATATAGCTCATTTCATGTCAGTCGAGGTTAACACTCCAGAGGAATACTGTATTGTTAATGTGCTGTACATCAGATGAGGTACTGTTTGCCAGATCTTTAGAAGGATGTTAAAGATCCTATTATACTGTTCGAAAAGAGCAGGGAGTTTCTTCCGGTATCCTTGTTAGCAATTCTCCAGATGAATTGGTCATTCACCTTATGACCATTGTTGTGCACAAAATAGCTGCCATGTTTGCTTTTAAAAATAGATATAACTATAAAGAGACATTATGACTTGATAAGGTGCTATAAAATGAAACTTCTTGTTTTGTTTATTAGTGTCATATGTTATTCCACACCAATTGTGGAAAGTACTGATGTGTTTGGTTAAAGGTGGAAAGCGTCTTACTTTTCCCCAACGAGATATTTGACATTGCTGAGGTTTACATTTTTGCATTTAAATTACATCCTGTCTGCATCTAGTTTCACAAAGCTCTTTTAGAAGCCCAGTCTGTAAGTAAGTAGCTCAACGTGCGCAAAACTGAGGCCCTCCTGATTGGCTCGCGTCAGCACCTCTGCACCTCAAGCGCTGACAGCATCAACATCCAAGGCTGCACTCTCCACCTCTCAAAGCCAGTCAGGAACCTCGGCGTTCTGTTCGACCCTGAGCTGTCCTTTCTTCCCCACATCCGCTCCACAACTGGTACTGCCTTCCACCACCTCCGGAACATCGCCAGACTACGGCATTACCTCACCCCTCACGCTGCTGAAACCCTGGTCCACGCCTTTATCACCTCAAGGCTGGACTACGGGTACTCTCTCATCGGCCTTCCCGGCACCTCCCTCCACAAGCTGCAGGTCATTCAGAACTCTACAGCTCGTGTACTGTCCCGGACCAGGCTTCGCGACCACATCACTCCCATCCTCGCTCGCCTCCACTGGCTCCCCATCCCCCAGAGGATCGAATTCAAGATTCTCATCCTCACCTTCAAGGCCATTCACGGCCTTGCTCCCTCCTACCTCTCCGACCTACTATCCCCCTACCTACCTGCCCGTACCCTCCGTTCCTCTGGCTCCGGTCTGCTCCACACCCCCCGCCCTAACCGCCCTACCATCGGTGGCCGGGCTTTCAGCCTCTCAGCCCCGAGGCTCTGGAACTCCATCTCCCAGTGCCTTCGCCTTGCGTCCTCCCTTTCTTCCTTCAAGGCCGGTCTCAAGACCTTTCTCTTCAACCGTGCCTTCAGCTCCCCTCTCGACTCTCTACCCACTCCTCGCTCCCTCCCTTCGCTTCCCTCACCCTGATCATTTCCCCCCTGCTTGGGTCCCGACCCAACTGTCCAGCGCCTTGGGACGTCCTCCCGACGTGAAAGGCGCTCTATAAATGCAATCTTGTTGCTGTTGTTGTTGTAGTGATTTTGTTACAGACTGGGACGAGCAAGAATACAACAAAAGATATTGCACATTATTTTAGCTTAGAGCCCACCCAATGCAGATAACAATGTAGTCATTCAACTTCCTTCATTTTCAATGAGGCAAAGAGCTTAATTGCATCTGTACCAGAAGACTTGTACTGTCTTGTGTAATCAAAGTTAGCTAATTATGTGGAATATAGATGGAGGAATTTCACAATGGAGTTAAAACTGGCATTCCCATGGCCCAGATAAGGATTATAAAGTAGATTAGGACTATAAAGTCCTTGTGAATGTCTGCTTTAACCCCAAGGTGAAAGCATTGAGATTTTCTCACAGAGCCATTGGCATCTGATCTGGGGAACAGCTGTATTTTATCAGAGATCACAGCTGTGCCCCCATTACGGAGATGAGTAAGGGAAAATGTTTAAGTCAATGCTAATTTAAGATCAAATTCGCTAATTAACACAAGGAATGGTTATGGAACATCGCAAAATTGACTGCAACATTACTTCAAGGCTGGGGGAATGTTTTGTGAAACATTATATATGTTGAGAATCTTTTGAATTCCAAATTGTACAAGCAAAGACTATGTGAGCTATTCACTGATTTGTGAGAATATGCTGTTCCAGCAAAACAGCAATGATGGCTTCAGAAAAATAATTTGCTTTTTGAAATAAACTGTCGACGTTGAAATGTGGAATGCTACATTTGAACTGTGAACAGTGGGCCTCAAATATATATTCTTCTCTGGATGTCAAAATTGTAAGGCAATAATTGCAGACATTAATATCCGCTCTGTAAATGTACACTGCAGGTCATTGCTTCAGTTTGGTTCCCTGCTGCAATTACATTGCCATGCCATTTTGGATTGGATATATACTGCAATATATCTCCCAACTACAACTCTCTTGAATGTATATTTATACCAGTATATCATCATGAAAACGTGAAACTCTGAAACTTCCCTTATCACAGGATACCCAACCATAAATTACATTTGGAGTTCTATGGGTCTAGTATTTCATGAAAATGTGATCTATAATCTCAAATGCTGTCACTGCTCATAGGTCTTAATAGTCACAAAGTGATAATTTGTTCTGTAACAATATTTGCAAAATGTTTGCATTGGTACATGGGATGTTTATTAAAATTTTTTGCATATTAATGAATATGTCAGGTACTGATTTGTTCCCTCAGGCATGCCTCCTCAAGCCAATCTGAACAAAAGCAGAATGTGTTTGAATATTCAACTATTATATATCTTCCAGTATTGCAGAGTTCATAACAAGTTCTCCTTTACCAGATATCAGAGCTACATATTATCCCACAAATATAGATTATGCTCACAACTGTAACAGTAGAACTCCATTATAATGCACCTTGTTATAAAGCATAGGAACATAGGAAGAGGCGGAGGCCATTCAGCCCTTTGAGCCTGTTCAGCCATTTAATTAGATCATGGATGATCTGTACCTTAACTAATCCTTTCAATTCCAATTTCCCGCTTTCCCCCCATATCCCTTAAAACCTTGACCTACCAAAAATCTATCAACCTATCAGGCATGTGCCTTGTGGACCCAGGTTGTCTTTGCCATGCGGACTGACTAGCTTCCTATGGATAAAAAAAATCCACTATCCAGTTTATCTGGTTGCCACCAATGACATTTCCTGCGCATCACTTTACATGCAAGAACATCCCAAATGCACAGTTTGTACAGGAAGTTCTTCTGAAATAAGTTTGCAAACAAGGTGGAGTTTCCTGTACAAATACTATTGATAATGTGTAAATGGGAATAAAATAAACTTATGTCTTAAAATCCACTGTGCTCAATATCTAGAGGAATTTCTCATCCATAATTTTGTAAAATGTTAGAGAAATATTGTGAATGGAAATGACCTATTTGTTTTGAAAATGTTTGATATTCTATTCTTTAATTGCAGAAGAGAATTGTAAAGTCTACAGAGTCTGGTTTTACTTGGAAATTAATAGTGCCCCAGCCCCTCCTGAGCAATGTCTTTGTGTATGCTGTGCTGTGCAGGTAAGAGTAATCCAACTTATAAAATCTACACTGTGTCATCAATTCTAATTATATGTAATAAAGTGAATGAATATAGCCAGAGTAATAGGAGTGTTAGTTGTCCAAATACTCTTGTAAGGGCTTTTGCCAAAGAAACAAACCTGCCCTAAGACCATCCACCTCCAGATGCAGAATGACAATTCAGTATAGATCGAAGCTCTTTCTTCTCAGTTGTTTTCCATTTTCCCTTTTTACTGCAAATACATCTGACAACTTAGTTCTGATTTCTTATACATGGTTTGCACAAGTTTCAATATATCAGGTTGTCTACTTACCTATGTTATTAAAGCTCAAGGGTTTCTGCAACTTCTGTTTTATATCTGCCTATGATTTTTAAAGTAAAGAAATGCGGTTGCTTTTTGAATCTCTTAGAACTGCCAAAGATTGTTGAAAGTCAACTATTTAGCTTTCATTGTTTCCATTACATTTTGAGGCATGATTTAACCGATATGGAGAGACTGACATCAATTCAATTGCATCAGTTGGAGCTAAATTCACCATAGACCAACAAGGCTATTACATTTTCAGAATTGCTAATTTTACTGACATCAAAAAGAATTCTTGATGAAGTGAAAATAAAAATATATCTCACTTTTATTTTCCATTAGAAGAGCATTCATTATTCAGTATAGGTTAGTTATTGCCAGCTTTAATCACAATCTGGTATGATAAAACCAGAATTTAGTGAAATTACTGTGACGTTTCTTGAATCGTAAAGATCTATTTTGTGCTCTGAATAAAAACTTAGGTTAATAGTGGAAATACTGTGTAGAATGTTTTTTTCTGATGGTGAGACAGAAAGCTTACTCTGCCATCCTCATCTCTCATCCCTAAGTTCACTCAATTGCCTCCCCCACTCCTCAGCCCTAAGAGTCTGGTATGAATGGCTTCAACCAGTTTGACATTGTTTGACATTGAGATACTAAGGCTTCTATATTCCTGAGATACTAAGGCTTCTACACTGACATAACTGGGTCTTTGACAGCTCTCCTGTCTAATTGATGGAGGGGCCAGAAGAAATAGTCAACCCCTTTGTCACTAGTGCCAGTTCTCCCTTTGAAATGGGGACTTTTGTTAACTCCTTTTCAGAGATCACAGAGAGATGGAGATATTTGAAGGTGAGCACAAGGATCTTAAAGATGATCTGCTAGGGGACATGTAGCCAATGGAGCCAGCCAAAATGATGGACCTGTGGAGGCTAGTGTGGGAGAGAATACCAGCTGCAAAGTTCAGTATGGTGTGGAGTTTGTGGAGAGTCGAACTGTATAGACATGTCAGCACAGTGTTGTAAAAATCAAGTTTGAAGGTGACAAAGGCATGGATGAGGATTTCACTGTGTTGGGGAGGAGTTAGTGGCAGTAGATGATGTTGGGAAGATGGTAGAAATTGGACTTGGGCCGAGCCTACGTGAAAGGTTTCAGGGAGAATTGAGGATTGAACAAAATGCTACAGTTCCACGCAGGCTCCATGAGTTGGTGAAAGCAACAAGGGAGGTTGATATGGTCAGAGACTGAGGTGAATAAGTGTTGATAGGAGCCGAGCAGGATAACCACAATTTTGTTGACGTTGAGATGAAGTAAGTTACGACTCATCCAGGGCTTGATGTCTGACGGGCAGTCTGTCAGAACAGCAGTTATTCTAGAGTCACGAAGAGCCAGATACTATTACATAAAAGAGCAAAAATACATTATGAGCACAGAAAAAAAGTATGTTTCAAGCAAAGCATGATTCAGCTGATCAATTCTGTAGTTTCTACTCAAACTCAAATGTCTGTCCTCTTAGATTAGTTGCATGGCCACAATAGTGTAACATTCTCAAAATAGTAGCATATTATTTTAAAAATAACGGTGGAAGTGTATGAGAAATAAAAAACAAAAGTATTTGACTTTTCCATAGATCTGTATACTTAAATAACAATTCTGGAAACACTGTTTTGCAATCCATAATTAAATGTTGTGTTTGGTGGTCATTGACATGATTTATAATCTGTCATAATGTACTTAACGTTTACATAACTCAAAATGACCTAACCTTGTGTTTATTTTTTTTAATGAAATGAATATAATAGTTATATTACTTTGGAAAAGAGCAAAATTAATGCAGTAGTTATAAGTGAATTCCAGCTTTGGAAAGTGCATAATTTTGTTCATATAATTTTGTCTCGTACCTCTACAAATTGAAATCCAAATTGCTCTGTGATAAGAAGTGGGATATAAGTCCAAATGCATTTTTTGGGGGTAACCAGAGCAGCTATAGCTCAATTAACTGTAACAGCAAATTTTGGAAAGTGTCTGCAGCTATAATGCTTACTTGCTAATAAAGGTACAAATATACTTTTAAATTGCATTCTTTAAATGTTTAAAAATCTGTATTACAAAGCATGTGGAAAGATATTCAAATTCTGAAAAAGAATCTGTGTTATATAGCTAAGATAATAGATGTAAACTAGATTGTTCACTTATACAATTTGTAAATACCCATTGACAACGAGTTTGCATAAGTGGCTTAGTTATATTAATTGCATTAATGTTCTTAGTTTTCTCAATTGACAGTTAATAATTCCTACGACAAGATATCTTTAATGTACTGCCCATCTATATAAATGTTTTAGGATGTGTGCCTCATGAGTTTCTTTCAACTGGGACCCACCTATCATTTATATTCCCTTCTATTTCACATTTCTCCATTTCCTACCTGACAGATAGAGAAAATTGCACGTATAATTCTATTCAACATTGCTGTTTTATCCCCATGTCAAAATTTGTGATCATCAGTCAAACAACTCGAGAGTTCAGGATGGCTTACCATGTTGGCACTAGAAATGTTACACAGAAGATAAATGTGTCCTAAATCCCCTATTTTATAGCCAAATATACTTTTTTAATGTAGAGATAACAATGCCGAAAGTTTTCATAATATAAATATGTGTGTCAAAAAGCTTTGTTTTATTTGGTTTATAACTTCCCTTTTATGCCTGGTTTATATTGGTGGGAGTGGTGCAACATTCACTATTTCACTTTGGAGAGGGAAGGTTGACCTATATTTTGTCTGTCAATTACTCTTGCTGAGGAAAGTAGTGCTTTGGAACACTTACGAACTTTTAAAGGATCATTTCTGAACAGAAATAGAATTGATTCTGCTGACCTTGTTTTTTCAAGTTGTCTTAGCAACCGATTGTTTTACGATTTCATAACTTATATTTAGGTTTACATTGCGATTTGGCAAGATTCCACCAGATTGCTATAAAAAGTATGGAAAAAACTGGACATTATGTTTTAAAACACTGTACAAACAAAGAAGAATGGTAACCATGCAACTCGCCTGTATAAAAAACTGAACCTCTGATCCCAAAATCAAGGCTCAAGCGATAAAGCTACCCAAAATATGAAAGACTAGCTGTACCCAGCTTCGCTTGCACCTTTAGGATTCAATATGGAATGTAGATTGACACACAGACAGACATTTTGTCTTTATCTATACTCAGCTGGGAGGACTCCTTTTGGGAGGACTCAGTGGAAGGACTCCTTTAATATATTTTCTCTCAGTCTCTCCGTCTCTCTCTCTCAGCCTCTCTCTCTCTCTCTCTCTCAGTGTCTCTCTCAGTCTCTCCCCCCCCCCTCTCTTTCTCTCTGTCTCTGTCTCTTAGTGTCTTTCTCTCTCAGTCTCTCTCTTTCTCAGTCTTGCTCTCTCTCTCTCTCTCTCTGTGTTTCTCTATCTTTCCCACAAAACACACAGTCACTACACTGTATAATATATTCTCTCTCACAGTCTCTCTCAATCTCTCTCACTATCTCAGTCTCTCTCTCTCTGCCTGTCCCACATTGGAGGACTCTACTTCCCATGACAATCAGAAAAAAGTGCCATACATTTTTACAAAACATAGATGTATCTCTCTGAATGATGTGTGCTTTCCTCTGTCGCTACGTAGTTGCAGAATACAATGCATAACTCATATCTTGGGGCTTAATTAAAGCATGTTTTAATATAGCTCACCAACAATAGGAGATCCCCAAAAAATATAGCCATGACACTGCCAGATGCAAGACCTTTCTGATGAGGTATAAATCCTGTATGTATGTCAATCGGTTATTGTGTGAGTGTCAAATACACAGACACACAGACAGACATGTTGTCTTTATTAGTATAGATGAACATTAGAATTGAAACTGTTATTTCTGCTAAGCCAAACACCATTAATAGGGTGATATTTTCACTTGAGTTGTTTATCAAAAACATTCATCTCCCGAAGTCTGACATTCCATTTGTGTTTTCTTGCTTTCTTACATTGATAGATAAATTACAGAAAAAAAATAAAAGAAGGCATTTCTATGTTGATTAACTCAAGGTTCAAATATAATTTTTGTTTGGCTTGTAAACAATAAGTAGAATAACAGTAGATTGTCATTTTACAATATGACCAGTGTGACCAAGTCACTTCAAACAAACCCAACAATAGAATAATTTAAAAACAAATTATTTTACCTGTTAATTGGGTTCAGTATCTTATTAACTATGAAATATGCCATTTTAGTATAGAGGTAATGGTGCTCAGTATATTTATGAAGGAATTATTTAAATATTTGAGCTAAATAGCGTTTTGCTAGCAATTCTACCACAATATCCCACTTACTAATGTCATTTAATAAGTGTCAAAATCCATACACAAAATGGTAACTTATTAAATGGGGAACAGCTGCATGTGCAGTATCTAGTTAACCTCTTGAGCATTGAGTTTACTTATTCCAAGGAATTTAAGAAACCAAGCAAGATCTTTTAAAGAGAACTCACTAGGGTACACACCTGAACTGATCACGGGCAAATATAGTTTTCAATTGACAAATATATTACTATATGAACTGTTCAAACTTTGAATACCAACCACTTCCAGCTTTTGCAAAGCTGTACCTCATACTTTCCGGAATAAGCAAGATGTGTCCCTCCAGGGAGGAAGTGCGCATTCCATTCCAACAATATATCTCTGAAATTTCCACGCGTAGATGGGATGCATGGAATTCTCAGTTTGGTTTGGATGCTCTTAAAGCATGGTGATGGGTTTCTGATGTGTCAAACACCTGGCTGACAAAAAAAAATCTTGCATTCAGGCAGAACCTAAGAAAAGACTGTCACGTTCTCAACAAACAATGTGTAGAACGCTCTTTTATTTTAGGTCTCCAGTTACACAATCCAACAATCACAACAAACACTCTCCACTCAGTTCTTCCTGCTTTCTCTCCCTCCTGATCTCCTTCCATTGGTCCTTGTCAATTGGTCCTGATTTATTAATTAGTATCCAACAAAGAGTAAGAGTAAGATCTGAGTAACACCTCAAACACGGTGATCTTTCTCTCACCTCTGCCCGCCCCTCTTTATCCTTATATACATTCTTGTTTTTACTTTATGAATATTGTGCTACATTGCTCCTCAGCTCCCAAAAACGTATGACAGCTGAATACTTTTCCTCCTCTTTTCATGTTCCCTGTGTTGAATTGTCTCTTAATCTAATTTATTATTTTCCAAGATTGCCAGTTTAGAAATATACCATACTGTAAAAATTGCATATGACATTTCAGTTATCTGAGTTAATTTATTCCGTGTCTAATGGTCTGATGCTGTTGCTTATTGAGAACAGCAGCAGCTATTATGTTGCCAATATTTTACAAGATTTTCAAGTCTAAATAACAGTGAAATCTTGTTAATTCAATACTCCCTATATGTCTTGCCACATGAAAACCCATCACCAAGTTACTTAAGATAAAAATGAGAAAGCAATGTACCAATAGCCTCAAGATTCTCAAAATAACCAGAAATATGTGGCAATGTCCACTTTATGCAGAACAAAAATCAATTTACAGAATTATCATATATAACTTTTTGTATTCTAAAAGTCAGTGGATTTCTGAGATTAATAACTCAATGTTTGTTTATTTCAGGAATAATTACGGCTCAAGTATTAAATTGCACTTTCAATTATCTTTCTACTCCGTACCTGTGGAGCTCCCACCCCAATCTCAGGTGTTCAGCCGGCATTGCGAATTACATTAAGATATTCTCCCTATTCTCCTCATTTTAAGATATGAATATAACAATATCAAATGCAAAGATCATTATTATTATAAAATATGCTATATAAGTGTAAACTGTTTGTGTTATATACTGTATGCAGTTATTTTCACCGTTTTTGTGAAATGTTTCAAATGGAAAAAAATGAGAATATATAATCAGCAGTATTTTTTAATGCAAGATATTATTTCTTTACCCAGAATACCATCCACCTGGAACTCTCCATATGCAATCCTATTAATGAACATTTGACACTTCACGTAATATTGAATGGGAATGGGCTTATAGGAGAAGGCAGCCTAGTGCTTAAGCCTAAAGAAATGATTTTGTATGTGGCAAAGTATGCTCCAAATTCTGTTGGCAAAAGTATTGGAAGGTAAGATAACAAACTTCTAGAACATAGAGTTATACATTGGTTGCTCATCAAAGGATCATCAGAGAGGTTCGGATAAAAAAAGACCGTTTGTCGCATTTGAACTCATCCTTCCAGAATATCCACCATATTATCTCCACATTACAGCATTAAGCTGTGTTTTTAAATGAGTCCAGTGTCTTGGGCTCAATTATTTTTCCTAGTAGAAAGGTCATTGAATTATTAATTACCCTCTGTGTAAACAATTCAAGTTGAATAGATTTATTTTTACTATTTAGCATTACAATGTAGTGCACGGACAGACTGATATTGTTGGAAACATTGAGCCATTGTCTTTCCAATGAGATTAAGTTAAGTCTGCTTGTTCACATAGATGTTAAATGTTTCATGGTATCATGTGAAATGAGAAGGGGCTTTCTCCTGATGCGCTGGCCAACTCAAATGGAATAATGGTCATTCACCTCAAAGCCAACAAAAACGGTCACTAACCTTGACAATGTTGACTGTAAAGCTCTTTGAGAAATTACAATGGGATGAGGCTCCTTCTTTTCTAAGCTTGTCTCTTGGGCCACTGAAGCTTTTCTACATCTTCCCCAGTTTTTTCTTTACATTTCTTTCTGTTTGCTATAATGATTAAGGTCATTTGAGTTTAACAATGCAATTTAGCAAATCAAGTGAACAATGCTGAAGAGACCTGGGGAAATGGTGATCACAGCTGAGAAGCTGGAACCTATTTGTTTGGTTCCTTATAATAATAATAATAATAATCCTTTAATAATAATAATATGCTTTAATTTTGCCATGGTAAATGTTTGGATAAATCCTTGTGATACAGTCACAGTAAATCGGAAATCCATGAAAATCACAATTAACATCTGAGGCCAAAATTCCTAAATACAAAGATCATACAGAAATTTGGAAAATTCAAAAATTTAAATTTAGAAGCCAATTTTCCAGTTTTAAAAAATCAATGGAATTACGACAGATGCGGACTCAACCGTTTGGAATGCCATGCATGGTGTGTACCAATGGCTTCTTTATGTTTTAACATAACTCACAATAATATAAATTGATTGAAAATATATTTTTACTCACTGTTAATGTAACTAATAAAAAAATAGAATGGACATACCACGGTACCTTTTACCGACAATAATTCTCCATTTAGCTACAATTTAGTGAAGCGCTGACACCACTGTGTTGACACAGTCGATAATTGCACTTGTGACAGTTCTACTCTTTTTTTACTTTACTTTTACTGATTTTATTTTGGTGAAATTGACAGCTTCTATTTCTTTCTCTGGGTAGGTTGATGGAGAATCACCATATCATTTTAGTGAATGATTGCTTAGCTATTCGGTAGCTATTGAAATGTTGACAAGTGACGTACACAAAAGTAATTTTGAACTGTTTATTTTGAAATGGATTTTTGATGCTGCACTTTGGCCATTTTCCCCCTCTCCACCCTGATCAGCTGCCACCCCCCCCAGCTCAGGTCCCCAGCTGATATTGTCAAGCGCTTTGAAACGTCCTCCCGATGTGAAAAGCGCCATATGAGTTTAAATTATATTGAATTGTACGTTAAATTTGTAGTAAATTTATATTAATTTTCAAATTTTCGATTGTATTCAAATTTGTTTTCAATGGTGGTTTAACCAGAGTAATACCATGAAAAACATTTTTTTATACAAATTGTTGGTTCTATTTTCCATTTACAAAAATTTTAAAATAGCATTGTTCCCATGATGTGACACATTAGATAGCTTCTGCATTTAGAATTCTACAATTCCTCAAAGCTTTAATTGAAAATATAAAAAGTTAACTTGTGACTTGTTAAAGATCCCATGATTCCATTTGAGAAGAGAAGGGAGGTTTTTTTTGCCTGGTATTCTGTAATTTCTGTTTTTCTAAGTTTCTGTGTTAAATTTTCCAGAAATTGTATACGTGTGTTATTTGGATGCAAGAACTTAAAATTCTACTTTCTGTGTATTCCATCTTTTAGGTCTTCTTGCCTAAATGTTGTTGTTCTGCAGCTTGGGACGTCCTCCCGACATGAAAGGCGCTATACAAATGTAAATTATTGTTGTTCTGAACTAGACCAAAATATGTGGACAGGGACATTTTCCTAAGCCTCTGCCAAGTGGAAGTCTAAAGCAGCCCACCAGAAGGGAAATATCTTAACATTTGCTTCTATTAAAGCCTTGTCCAGTTTCCATGGAGAAACACTCATATGAAAGGGGGACAAAAGCATTAAAATATGCAGCATGTAAACCACACAGAACACAATTATAAAGCTTTTCACTAGTTAAGAATTCTCATTTAACATAAAAGATTTCTTTCTTAAAATTTTATACTCTTGGCCGCAATATTACTTCCTGAAGTAACTGGCAAGAACAACTTGGCAGAAATTCAAAGTCTTGCTCAGTTTATTAACTAAAATAAGTACATTCTGTTTTTTCACTTTTATATTAAATCTTTTTTCTTTACTCACTTTTCATTGCTAACTACCTCTAGCATAATAACTGATTTTAAAGATAGAATCGTTGTTGAAAGTAGCATTGGATAATTGCATATTTTAATCCTAGCAGAGTTGTGTTTAAGGTTAAAATATAGCTTGCTTATATTTGCCAAATTGGAAGTCTCCAAGATCAGATACTTTGCAGTGTTGCTGAATGGTTACAGTGTTTAATTTTTTTTCCTATTAAACTTATAGTTGCCTAGCTGGACAATAATAATTGCTATTGACAGCTACATTTTCTATTTTGAGAAGGGAGGAGGAAAGTATTTCTATGGCCTGAAGCTATGCCTTAAACGTCTTGGGTAGTTGGTTGAATCATCTAACTTGCTGGGTTTTAATCCTGATTCGTTCTCTAAGATCTGAACCTTTTGAGGTTGCTTAAAAAGAGGATTAAAATCCTCTTTATGTAGAGGTAAGCGAGTTCTCTCCGGGGTTGAACATACAAGTAGTCAAGGGACAGTTGGCTAGGCCATGCATGTCTATAATAATAATAGTAATCCTTGCATTTGATATAGTGCTTTTCACGTCTTCTAGACGTCTCAAAGCGCTTCACAGAATATGCTGTAAAGTGAATTGACCGTATGTTTGTGGGCGAAACGCGGCAGCTAATTGCGCACAGCAGTGTCCCACAAACAGTCGTGGATTGAAAATGACCAATTTATTATTATTTTGTTTTTGGAGGGATTATTATTAGGTGTGTGGAGTAAGGAAACTTGCCCAAGGCTTCGCACTGCCTGGAATTGAACCCAGGTGTCTCGCTTGCAAGGCGAGTGCTCCAGCCACTGAGCTACAGGACTCCAAGTCTTTCTTGATGGTTGATGAAAATATTCATTTCTTGGAAGAGACATTACTTGTTTAAAAGTCTAGTGGTACAGAAACAAAATCTCTCATTTGGTAATTTGTTCATTTCACATGTTCATTTGTCATGGGCACAGATTCATGGAGTTAGTAGGCAAGCATGCAACAAACCACATTGCTTGTCATGTAACTATTTCAGGCAGTAAAATCAAGCACTATAAATCCAAAATATATAATAATATATTAAATGCTAGCTGTACCTGTTGCAGCTAAGCTTTCAACCAAAGGATCCAATATGGAATGTAGATTGACACCGAAACAGACACACTTACTTATCCTTGAAAGGTTTGATTTCGCTTAGGCATCTTTATAACGATCAATATAAATGTATAAATTATAATCACTGGGACGTCCTCCCGAAGTAATAATGTAATTTTGTTATTGTTGCCATGACTTTGCTTTGTCTATGTTCTTTATTTGGTTCCCACTTGGTTATGTGCATGCTCTGTGACACACGATGCCACAGCGTCAGGGTCAGCTGGTGTAGCCACCAGGTGTAACTTCACAATGCCACAGTTCCACTTTGACTCAGCAGCCACCAAGTGTAACTCAGCGAAAAATGTAATACTGAAATATTTTTGGTCATAACTCATAAAATCAAATATGCTCATGTCACTCCCAAGTGCAAGACTTTTCCAATGAGGTATAAATCATATCTCTACGTCAATCAGTTATTGAGATCCTTCTTGAAGCATAGACAGACAGACAGACATTGTCATTTTATTAGTATAGAAGATAGATTAAGGTATTGTTGGTTAATATTTGTTTAGCAATAAAGTGAATCACTTTTTGTTCTTTTGCAGCATCATCTTCCAGTCGGAAAGTGTAGGAGAATTCTGGTATGAAATAGAACTTATTGCAGAGAAGCCATTACCAAAAAATCTTCCAGAGCTACAATGTGAGCTGGGAAAGTAAGTCCCCTAATTTATAACATATAAGTATTATACAAGTATATGGATTGATTGATGTCTGACAAATACAAGACCCGTTGTAATGATGTCTTCAGTTAAAGTTATCAGGCAACGCTCACAGACGTAGAAGTTCTATTTATCGTTCTGGAGTGCCCAAATCCAATGCGGATGGGAAGCTTTGTCTGTACCACAAGAGCACAGGAAAACATCCATTTTGTGCACAGGAAGATCACATGAACAACCAAGGAGTGAATGATCGAGTAATCTGGAGGATGGGGGTCAGGACACCAGGAGAAACTCTTCTCTTTTCAAATTGTGTCATGAAATCTTTAACGCTCACTTGAAAAACAGGCATGCAGGATCTCAGTTGATGTGTTTTCTGAAGAATGGCATCTCTGATATGCAATCCCAATGTAGAATCAGCAAACCCAGGAAAAAAATCCATGTTGATGGACAAGCCTTATTCTTCTTGTTACAGCATAGAATGACAGGAATTATTAGGTGCTGAATATGAATAATCACAACCCCCAGTCACATGTAGACCCCTGTAAGTCCAATTGGTGATTCAGATTACTCAATCAAGAATCTCTTGGCAACACTACACTTAGATATATGATCATTATATCTAACTCATGATTGCTTAGCTCCAAAGCCACTTCACTAGGTGTATCGCTTTGGAGTCAGACATATTCCATTTACCTTCCCCTCAAAGGGACAGTACATATAAGTAGTTAATCGTCGACAACAGAAATAAATATTCATTGGGCTTGAAATTACTTTTGACAACTTCCCTATAAATCTCACGGTGAAGTTGAAATTGGAAAATGATAAGATAGATATTAATCATTTTAAATCCCAAACTGGAAAGATAATACCATCCTCTTCAGCCAGCAAGATGCATTTTTGAACCCATGTTTTGAACCCATCCATTATTAATGAAACTGGCCACTTGTCGTTTATTACGGACATATGGTATGTACATCCAGAGAACTGATACACAATTACTATTGTAATTGTTTATAACTTCAAGATGAATTTCATCACATTTCTACTAATTAAAGTGCCACAAGAACATGTCCTGGCTAGTAAAAACAAGAACAGATTTTCAAAATAAAGCTGTACTCCTCACAATTAATTTTATATATTGTTAAAACTAACACATCCGTGGATTGTCCCAAGCCTCTGATCTCACCTAACTACTATATTCATACTTTGATCCTGTAGTTTGATGCTTGAAGACGTATGTTCAGCATTTGGTGAATTTTGAAAATCAAATGCTGGGCTATATCAGCACCTACTTTAACAGCTTTCTGGCTGGTTGAAAATGACATTACAATGCTACATATTACTGAGATTGTCTTACTACACTTTAAAAATTAGTATAGTTGTCGGCACCCAATTAAGTTAGCGTTGGATAGGACACGTTTGCTATGGGAACAGAGCGGGGGAGTGGAATTGATTTGGATAGCTCTTTTCAAAGAACCAGCACAGACACAATGGGCCGAGAAAAATAAAGTTTTTATTCACTAGTAAGTAATGGGCGACTGCTCTTACCACAAGTTTAAAGTTAATTGAAGCATTGGACTAGAGATTTTGTTCTTCATTTGGCCTGCTTATTTTCAATTATTGCTATTCATACTTTCTCATATTTGGAAGAAAATCTATTTTTATTATTTTTTTCTTCTCTGTTCCTATCTGGCATCATCAATGAGACACTGGTTAGGCCTCAGCTAGAGTACTGTCTCATTTCTGGACACCACACTTTAGGAAGGATGTCAAGACATTGGAGAGGGTGCAAAGGAAATTTACCAAGATGATACCAGGAATGAGGGACTTCAATTATCAGGAGAGGCTAGAAAAGCTAGGATTATTCTCCTTGGAGCAGTGAAGGTTAAGAGGAGACTTAGTAGAAGTATTCAAAATTATGAGGGGATTCAATAGGGTGGAGAACTAGAAGCTATTTCCACTGGCAGGTGGGTCGGTAACCCGAGGACACCAATTTAAAATAGTTGTTAAAAGAAACAAACGGGAGGTTTGGAGAAATAGTTTCACACAGCGAGTTGTTCAGATCTGGAATGTATTGCTTGAAAGGGTCGTGGAAGCTGATTCGATAACAACTTTCAAGAGAGAAGTAGATAATTATTTGGAGAGGACAAGTTTGCAGGGCTATGGAAATAGAGCAGGGGAGTGGGATTGAATTGGATAGCTTTTTTCAAAGAGCCGGCACAGACACGATGGGCTGAATGGCCTCCTTCTGTGCTGTATAATTCTATGATTCTTTGATTCTATATTCATGCAGTGCTATAGGATAATGAAATGTACAGAATTACTGTCTGTCAGTCTCTCTGTCCCAACGGTATTGATGGAATCATTTGGAAAGGGTATTTGATCTGTTAGATCTAGCTCTTTAAACTTACCACTTTGATTATCACCTGTCATGTGAAGTCAAACTCAGTCCTATTGAATTATTTTCAATCTGTTTATGAAAGTACAGCTTTCAGTCAGTTGGAATTCTCCACTCTACAAGTATGAGTAATCCTAAAGATAGGTAGATGTGCTTAACTGGTATGATGTATCGTGGTATAGTGATTTCTTACTGTATTAATTGACATCTGGGTGGGGGTGGGTGGGGGGTGCGATTAAGCACGGTCTCATAACCTAGAAATAGTCATGTTGACTTGCAGGAACTCTGCTTGGACAATCTACTTTTGGAGAGGAGTTGCTGTAAATTGGGTGATATGCATGATACAGTTCTGGTTACGAGAAGGAATCTGTATTTCCTTTCCTTATTAAGGAATAATGTAACAAACAAAATCCCAATATTTAATAAAAGGTTTAGATACCTACCCTGAATATGAATGTGAACTGAGTGTGATTGAATTGGAAAAACGGTAGTTTTTTTGTAGCCCGTAAACAATGATTTGCAGGATGGTTACAGGGCACGATTGTATTGGCCAACTGATTTGATAATGTAGCCCAGCATCTCATTTACCTTGTTTATTGCTGTACTGCTTGTTTCATGCGATGACCCCTGAGTCAACTAACACACCTAAATCGCTTTCAACCTTGACAATTTCTCTCCTATCATGGAGAAAAGTGCCTCCTATTTTCCCTTCCTAAATGCAGTTACTACATTGCATTTATATATATTGAACTTTATCTGCTTTAGGTGTCAATCAGATTAAGCTTTCTCTAATTCCATAGTTCCCTTAGCTTCTTCAAATTTGAGTCTATACATTCGGGTCATTAATGTATACAGGGAACAGAAGGGTTCCAAGCACTGACCCTTGAGGCAACCCATTTATCTTAGGAATAAGAAGTATTAAGGAGACTGGAGCAAGGAAATGACAAATAGAAGAGACTTGAGATATGATTGAGAAGACATGGAATAAGGTAATTAAAGAAGGAAAGAGAGAAGGTGAGGAAGGGGGAATGAGTGCTAAAAGTGGAGAGAAGTAAGTAATACTGAACTATTACCATTATCTTATATTTTTTCTCAATGGATTCAAATGCTGCCTCCTGAAGCTCCAAAGCATGTAATGGTTTCGAGTGATGTTATATTTATATCTTGGGGCGACTGTACCAATGTTGTTATTTCAATGTGCGAAGTTGCTAAACTTCCTGCTCTCATTGTAGACCCATTTAGGTTTGTCTTCGTAAAATAGGACTTTCATTAGCCCAAATTTAAAATTCATACCTAAAGCTGTTTCATTTTTCTAAGAAAGCTACATTGCTCAAACATATATGGTTATCTACCATTCAGAACTCTTTCTTTTCAAGAAAACATAACTTTATTGGTGTCTATATGGTATGTTAGAGTTCTGTGCAGATGGACGTTGTTCAGTCTTGGCAGTGGCTTGGTTTGTTCGGTAACAGAAGAACATGTAAACCCGTTACCAAATGTTGCCTTGCTCAATATCTAAATTATAGAATGTATGTCATTATATTGCCTCTTGACTTGTCAGAAACCACATGAAATGTTAGAACTCATTCTATTCAGTCAAGGGACATCATCATGCAAAATGCATTGACTTCTCCTGAAAGGCAGCTAAATGGAATAATGTACAAGTTTTTACAAGATGCTGTAGTCTTGATTTGTTAACTCAAGATGACGAGTGCTTTTGGAACAGTGCTGTGCTTCACACTGGCCACCTTTCAGTCACAAACAGTTCAACCATTTTATATATGACAAGCATAATTCATTTATATGAGGAAATTGTACAAAGAGGCATGAATGTTTGACAGCTGGAAGATCTTTATTCTTTGCATGTCACTCAATATCCAAACATAAAGAACTCTTGAATCTCTATCTTAGCTAATGAAAATTTGCTGTTTTTTTGTTTAAAGAGGAAGAAAAATCTGGAAGGGATCTCAAGACCTTCCTCTTCAATCATGCATTCGTTCGTCTTCCCACCACCACCCCCTTGCCCTCCATCCCTCTTGATTTCAGCTCGCAGCTTGGGTGCAAACCCTTGACTGTCCAGCACTTGGGACATCCTCCCAATGTGAAAGGTGCTATATAAATGCAATTTATTGTTGTTGTTTACTGCTCAAAGAATTATCCCTAGATAGAGAAGATATGTGGGCAGAATTTGTAGTTTTCTTTGAAGTGTTCTTTAACTTATTTAAGGATTTAAAAGAATATTGCCAGGGCTGATCAACTTTAATTACCTTTACAACTACCTTGGCTATTCCTCATTTGAGCCGCTTATCAATCCACTTGCATGTTTTAACCTTGATACCCAGTGACATCAGTTTGTGAAGGAGTCTGGTTTAGTTCTTTATCTGAGTCTAGGATCCTACGTCATATGGCTTCCAACTGTGAAATTTGGATGTTACCAATTCAAAAACTATATGAGGTTGGTTGAAGGAAGATCTACACTTCTGACACCTTATCAGTTGATTGTCTTTCACAGTGTTAAAATTCAAACATTATTTGATTTGAAAATGAGCAGAACATTGAAGTCAGATTTTTTTTAAATGCAGGATCCAATATGATGTAAGAAGTATAAATTAGGTTCCACATTGCCATACTACTGACAGTGAAGTGGCTTTGCTCCCAGCAGTATAAACACAACATTAAAGATACAACCATGATTGACAGTGCAATTAGCTTTTAAGCTTTCAAACTGCATTGCACACTGTGTGCAATCATCCCGCAGCTGAGCTGTCAGAATCAGCTTTGTAGAGATTTTATTCTTAGAGCTAAATATCTGACATAATAAAAATTCACATATACATTTTTCATTTTATATACAAATGTGCACAATTTGACTTAATTGGTATTGTGTGTCAGCCCGGGCATAGTGGTAGCATTCTTGCCTCTCAAAGGGTTGCGGGTTCAAGTCAAGCCCAACGTCGGAACTTGGAATAACAAAACCTAAGCTGACATTTCAATGCAGTGCTGGTGGTGTGTTACATTGTCGGAGGTGCAGTCCTTTGGATAAGATGATCTTGTCTACCTGATCAGGTGGACATTAAAGATCCAATGACACTATTCGAAAAGAGAAGGGAGTTTCCGATGATGTCCTGACCGAAATCCCCTAATAAAATTGATCAGTCATTTTATTGGCTGCTTGCAAATCATTGCTGTGCCCACTTGGCTTTTCCCTTAAAAAAGTGTCACAACACTGACAATAATAATCGATAATGTAATAATTAATTATTAATTACAATAATTCCAAGCATAGCCTATGAATGTCAGACAGAATGTTAATCATGCTGAAAAATGAAAAACTCAAATATTTAAGAACAATACAGAAGTATTGCAACAGCACATTATTTTGCACAAATGAACAGTGTTTCATTTTTGAAAATATATTCATTTAAAAAATTACAATGCTATTTTCCCATCTGTGTTTCATCTTGTGATAATTTGGAGTACTTCTTGAATTATTTGACTTTCTATCAATGTGGGGCGATCAAGGGGAGCTCTCCTTGCATTTCTGTTGAAAACTGCATGATGTCTTTTGATCTAAGCTACTGAATGGTTTTTCTGGATTAACTTTGTGGTTATGGTATAATTCTTCCTACAGATGGATCCGTCAGTCCATCTCTCTGCTTAATTCTACTTATGAGACTTTGCATTTGGAAATGGTCAACAGTAATCCAGGAAACTTCACTGTTGAGATTGATCCCAAGAAACCAGTGAGTATCTATCTGTCAAAAGTTGTCCCTATTTTAGAGGCTTTTTGTAACTGTTTACAGATCGAGATTAAATTTCTGCATTTCTAAATACAATCTCTTCCTCAGTTATTTCAGGTTATAATTAAAGAATGACACAGAAATCATGTTTTTGATCGGGAGGTCTTTACTCTGGTTGTGGAAAACTCAGATTTTATGCTTCTTTGCAGATACTTGCCAAAAGTAATTTTAAAAGTAAAATGATAATATCAACAATTTGCATTTATATAGCGCTCCTCATGTAGGGTTGGGCCCAGAATGTTTATTAATGATAATGTTAAACAGCCTTTCTGGTGGCTTGATCTTCCTAATTTTAATAAAGGGGCCTGCCATATTGACTGTGAGAAGAAACCAGTCTCCCTAAATCCTGGTTATAAGTAAGGAACGAGATGTGTTCAGAAATGCTACAGTGGAGTCCTGTAGCTCAGTGGTTAGAGCACTCGCTTTGCAAGCGAGAGACCTGAATTCAATTCCAGGCAGAGGGCGAAACCTTGGGCAAGTTTCCTTACTCCCCCCGCCTAATAATAATCCCTCCAAAAAAACAATAATTAAATTGGTCATTTTCAATCTATGACTGTTTGTGGGACATTGCTGTGCGCAATTGGCTGCCGCGTTCGCCCACAAATATACAGTCAACTCACTTTACAGTATATTCTGTGAAGTGCTTTGGGACGTCCTCCCGACGTGAAAAGCGCTATATCAAATGCAAGGATTATTATTATTATTATTTTACATATGTGCTTGTAGCTCAAATAAGAGTCTCCGATGAGCTGCACCCTCTCTCAGGTGATATAACCTTCCTTTGTGGTGAAGCCTTTATTAGGGTCTAACAACTAAACAGTGTTGGGGAGACCAACTCAGATTGGAAAAATCGAGACTGGAGTTGACTAAAGCATGAATGAGGGTTTCAACAACACTTGAAGTAATGTAACATAGAAGATAGGGGAGGTGGTGGAGGAAGGTGGAACTCAGTTAGCAACAAATATTATTTGATTTAGATTTAAACAATATACAGCTGGAATATACAAAAGCACACCGGACACCTACTGCGTATGTTGGCAAACAATGGTCAGTACCCTTGACAACAATTACTTGTTTTACTTTGACTTTACAGGGTTTTGACATTATAAGGTGCTATATCAAAGGCAAGGATTATTATTAAGAATTATTTTAAAATCTTCAAAGCATGTATTTTGATGGAAAATATTTCAAACTGTCAAACCTGAACCTTGATTTGTTACATTAAGTGAATTCCTAAACTCCAAGGCCATAAGTATGAATATGGAAATACTTATCAGTAGAAAACAAACATTTTTACACATTGGATTGATTTGGGACATTAGAAGACATGTATTCTCAGTCAGATTTAAACTCATCAAAGATCAAAACCACTGGCTGGAAAATTGCCTGTCTATAAACCAAAGAATGTATACTTGTGAAAGTTTTAACAATTAATTGATGAAGCAGTACATCATGTCTTTGAATTAGTTCTTGGTAAAAGTTGCAGTAAATTTTTATTTCAAGTTTAAAAATACTTCATGGTAAGATTATATTTTTAAGTTTATTCCAATCAGAATATGAATTATACATTTTTTAGAGTATACCTCTTTATTTATAAACTCCTGCTTTACAAATTTATAAAACCTTTCTTGAATATGATATGAGAGAAGGAATATCTATTTTAAAAACTGAAAGGTGTTTCTTATTTTCTCAAAGGGCAAACAATTACAGGCTAAGTTTGATGATATGTTATCTAGTAAACTGATCATTTCAAATTCAAATTTAGTAAAATTACAGGGCAACTAATTGGATGAAATGTTATTTACTTGTTGTAATAATAAGCTACAAGTAATGCCAATGCAGTATGTACCTCGAGGAATTTAAATTGTTTTAGTGTAAGCATAGAAGTGTTATGAATCAATAGATAGAATAATCGAAACACAAAATACTGCAGATGCTGGAAATCTGAAAACAAAAACAGAAGTCACTGGGAACACTCAGCAGGTTCTGACGAACGGTTGTGGACCTGAAACGTTGACTCACTTTCCTCTCTCCAAAGATGCCTCTTGAACTGCTGAGTGTTCCCAATGATTTCTGTTTTTGTTTCAGATTTCCAGCATCTGCAGTATTTTGCATTTTACTTCACCTTATTGTTATTTTTCAACTATGAATGATTTGTATACAAAAATATGATGCTCTGAATATTACATTAGTTAGAGAACCGTGAAGATGCCACATGTTAGAATAATTGTATTGAGTGTGAGGTGGAACTATTTAAGTCTTGACATTCCTGCCATCAGCTTGATGCTTCTCTTCTTTTGCCAGGTTTTCTTGTTAATCTGGTGGCATAAGTATAGACGCAATACGCCCGCTTTTTCTTGAATACCTTTGTTGTCTCATGTAGGAATCTCAAACTATCCCACCACCAAAAAAAAATTCAAATCATTGATGTTTTTGTTTATAGTTGCACTTGTATTTTCATTCCAATGTGATGTAAGATAGAAATGATTAACTGATTAATCCCTCCTGTTTGAAACAACCTAGAACTGATTTGCATGATCCCTTGATTTGCCAAATACAAACTATTCAGTGAAAGCCACTTCCTGTTGGAATATGGTACGTTCTTCACTGTCATTGGTCTCAGTACTCCATCTTCACAATTCACAAGCCTTGTGAAGCTTATATGGGAAAAAAGATAAATTGTATCTCCTCCTGCCCATCTGGCTCTCTGTGAAAGCGTATGATAAACCCTTTTCTTCCTGCTTCTTGGATCATTGGCTGATGCCCACTGAATTCCCAGAAGAAACAACAACAAGATTACATTTGTATAGCGCCTTTCACGTCGGGAGGACGTTCCAAGGCGCTGGACAGAGTACAGCAATTCAGACCCGAGCTAGTGTTGCGTGGGGGAAGGGAGGGGAGGGGAAGAGGGTGGCCGATGGCATGGTCAAAGAGGAGGGTCTTGAGGCAGGACTTGAAGAAGGCTAAGGAGGAGGCGAGGCGGAGTGACTGGGGGATGGAATTCCAGAGGTTGGGGGCAGAGTGGCTGTAGCTCCCGCCAATGGTGGGGCGGATTGGGTCGGGGGACGTGGAGCAGGTCAGAGCCAGCTGAGCAGAGGGAATGGGTGGGTTGGTAGGGGTTTAGGAGGTCACAGAGGTAGGGTGGGGCGAGGCCATGGAGGGCTTTGTATGTAAGGACCAGGATCTTGAACTGGATTCTCTGAAGGAAAGGGAACCAGTGGAGTCGGGCGAGAGTGGGGGAGATGGGGTCACGGAGTTTGTTGCTGGAGAGGACATGGACTGCAGAGTTCTGGATTATCTGCAGCCTGTGGAGGGAGGGAAGGCTGACAAGCAGGGCATTTGTTTAGTCGAGCCTGGAGGTGATGAAGGCATGAACAAGAGTTTCAGCGGCCTGAGGGGTGAGGTAGTGGCGGAGTCGGGCGATGTTACGGAGGTGAGGGAAGGCAGAGCGGATCATGGCTTGAATGTGGGGGAGAAAAGACAGTTGAGGGCACGAACAAGACACCTAGGTTCCTGACTGGCTTGGTGTGTTGTAGTGTGCAACCGCGCAGGTTGATGTTGCCAGAGGCTGAGGTGCAGAGACGCTGGCGTGAGCCAATCAGGAGGGGCTCAGTCTTCACGTTCAACTCTAGGAAATTTGCCCTCATCCAGGACTTGATGTCCGATAGGCAGTCTAGCAGGACAGCAGTGGTCCTGGAGTTGAGGGTGGAGTCAGAAACATAGAGTTGGGTGTCATCCGCATTCATATGGAAGTTGACCCCATGTCTGCGGATGATGTCACCAAGGGGGAGCATGTAGATATTAAAGAGGAGAGGGCCAAGGACAGAGCCCTGGGGGACCCCAGATGTGACAGTGCATGGGCTGGAGGAGAAACCGTTGGAGGCAACAAAATGGAGATGGTGAGAGAGATAGGAATCGAACCAGGCAAGGGCAGATCCGTGAAGATTGAGTAAAGAGGAGAAGCGATGTATGAGGATGGAGTGTCGACAGTGCCAAAGGCGGCAGAGAGTCAAGGAGAACAAGGAGGCAGAGGGAGCCCTGATCACAGATGTTCAGAATGTCATTAGTGACTTTGACCAGGGCTGTTTCCGTGCTGTGGGCAGTGTGGAAGCCGGATTGGAGGGGTTCAAAGAGGGAATGGCGAGAGAGAAAGGAGCGGAGCTGGGACGTGATGACTCGTTCCAGGACCTTGGAGAGGAATGGGAGGTTAGAGATGGGGTGGTAGCTGGAGTGGAGGGATGGATCCAGGGAAGGTTTTTTCAGGATGGGGGTGATGATGGCCATTTTTAGGGGGGTGGGAACTGATCCAGTAGACAAGGAGAGGTTGATGACATCGGACAGGAGGGGGTCAGAAGGTGGAGCTGGGAGATGAGGAGAGAGGTGGGGATGGGATCGAGGGAGCAGGTGGTGGGTTTGAGTTTGCGGACAGTCGTGGTGAGGGAGGAGGGAGAGATAGGTTTGAAGGAGTATAGGGGGGGATGGGTGGTGGGTGGGTCATGAGGGAGAGGTGATATGGGGGTGGCTGTGGACGGGGCTGAGGTGGCTGAACGTATCCCCTTGATTTTTGATTCGAGGAAGTCCAGCATCTCCTCACAGTTGGAGTGTGAGGAGAGGATGGGCGAGGTATGGGAAGGTGGACGGAGGAGATGGTTAGTGGTGGAAAAGAGAAGAGAAGCCAGGGGTAATGCTTTGCCTCCAAGATAACCTTGGAGTAGAAGGAGGATTTGGCTGAGGCAAGATCTTGGTGTGGTGAGGCCAAATCTGCCCATGGATCGTTAGTTTGAAACATGTCCAAGGAAGATTAGGCCTCATAAATTTCAGAGATGCAGTTTGAAAGACTGGTAACTGAAGACACTCACAAATGCTGAGCCAGTTCTTCAAAGAGCTCATGTGGATACAGTCTTGTGTAGCAGAGCCCTGCGCTAGTTGTCCCATGTGTCTCT